AAAGTTTAAAACTTTGGAGACAATTTAATACTGGCTCAATGCCCGAATTTTGAGGTATGAAATGGTGCTGTTACTTCTGTCAATAAATAACCAGAGCTTGTATGAAAGAGAGAGCGGCGGCGGAGGGGGGGGGCTGTTTATTCTAATGATAACTGCCCATCTCACGTTGTCACATTAATGGAACTGTGTTAAATGCCACGAGCACCGTACCCCCTCCTAGGCCAGGCTATGAAATCCCCATGCAGACCATATGACTGATATCAAACACAAAGCTACATTAAAGTTATTAAAGTTATTAATTATTATTATTATTGCATCTGTGCGATCCTTTTAGTAACACCGTCAACAACCCGCCTGCGTGTGCGCGTGAGCATTGTACTGACACATATGCACGTGTCTGAGTTAAAGTTGGGGGTGGGGGGTGAGGTGGGGTGGGGGTGGGCGTAAATTAGCATTCTACCTTTTAATTCCCCGTCCGAGATATCTGTGCAGCTGTCACTCTTGGCCTTCTCTTCCTTCCTGCTCTGACTCTCCTCTGTTTTGGAAAGCTCTCTCGCTGTCTCCTTCGCTTTGCTGCGACTTATTGTCGATTCTGCTGATGGTTCAACAGATGTCGCCAAGTGGGTCAGAGAGAAACTGGAGGGGAACTGCCGACCATCCTGTGGCGGCCTCTCTCCGCCGTACACCTTGAAACATCCGCTGGAAGAGGAGGCAGTTTGCTGAGGCCGGCAGCTATTGTCCCCAAGCCGGATGTAAGTGGCTGACTCTGTTGTCTGTTTCCCCTTATTGCTGTCATCCTGGTAGAGGCAACAAAACGCCTCCTCTTTGACGCTACCCATTGGAAACGAGCAGGGTTGTAAACACTGGGCAACAGGTTGCTCGTCCCTGGAGGTTTTGGAGCCTGGGGTCCATGTGGCCAGTTGTGTTGACAGGTAGGCCTCATCCTGGAAGCCGCTGAGCGACACACCGCCCGGAGTAAGAATCTCGTCTCCTTTCGAGAGTGAAGACAGTCCAACCTTCCCACTGTTTCTCATCACTGAATATCCGTACTCTGCAGCTGAGTGGATGTACATTCCGGGGTTGCTGGAATAACTGTCACCCCTGAAGGAAGATGATCCTCCCATTAAGGAATCCATGAGGAAGTTACCGGGAGCTATGTTATTCGGACATGACATTTTTGCATTTGGTAACACAATAATCGTTTGGTGTGTTCCACTGGTCTAAACTACCGGATTCTCCGGGAGAAAAATGACAGTAGGATGCTGACATCTTTTGGAGGGGGGTGCAAAAATATCAGTAACATAATTATGGATGCTCGGAGACATGTCATGTGAGTTTCAGACCAATGGCTGCGTGGAAGTGGCCTTGATGCTCCAGACTGACGTGACGTCAGCGCGGTCAAGTTGGGAAGAGTAAGGGTTTTTTGGTAGAGCAAGAGCGCCACCTAGTGACCATCTGGGGGTCAGACCAGCAGGCCCATACCAGGAAGAACAAAGGACGGCAGCTCTTGCTGCAGTGATTTTAAAGGCTCTTACTACGTGGCTTTTGGATGTTTTATTTCTAGTTCAGCACAAACTTTTAGATGCTTCAAAGCAAATTAACTCAGCCATGCCTCGAGTTTCTGTTCGCCTCGGAGCTTATGCTGTGGAGACGAAGCCGCCTGGATTTGATCCAAATGGTACAATTTGTGTATTTTCTTTTTGTTTTCTTCTTTTTAAAACTCCAACCGCTTTGTTGTTGTCACAGGTTTAGCGAGAAAAGCTGTAAGCGGGAAAGAAGATGTGTTGTTTTCTTAAACAAAGCCTCAGCAGGAATGAGGACATTTTTTATGGTGGGAAATTTAAAGAAATAGTACAGATGAATGTGTGGAGCAGCCCAAAAAGTAATTGGCCAGTAATCTTTTTCTTTTTTCTTTTTTTCCTTTTGATCTGCTTAATATAAAACTGTCATCTTTTGGGAAAAGGCTTTTTGACTGATTTTGTAGCATTACCACCATAATTTGTATTCTCTGATTATTAATTTGGATTTGTTTTGTATTACCATTGTGCTCCAGCTGAAATGCACCAGAATTCATTAGACTAATCATAATAATAGTGCCACATCTTTTTAAAGCAATTGGTCAACTTCAAGTAGACTGAAATAACCAACGAAGCAGCACTTGGTTGTTTAACGGGGTGTCGCCTTATAATGTGTTCAACTGTACGGGGAAATTGCAAATGGATGGCCTACAAGGATATTTCTGTTGTGGTGTACAGAATTATATTAAGTGTCTTTTACGTATATATAGCCTAATAAATAGGTATTTGCTTACTTGAGCACATATAGTATTTCTATAAATGTTTCAATTCCTTTGCACATGTTTGGTTGTGTTATTATTAGTACTTTAACAGTTTTTTTTAATTGTTTGTTGTTTTGCTTTGTTTTTATTACCATTATTATTGTCATCATTATTTCACACGCGGAGTAGAAGTGGAAACAAGGATTTGAAAATAATTTCCTCTATTCAATACGAGCTTTGAAAGTGTTTACGCACAGAAAGTTTTTTTAATGTGATTTTGTTTCTTCTGTCCTCAACGCTAATTAGATCATGTCTAAATTATAATAACAGTTATCATGTAAAAAGCATAAAAACATGGGGAAAAAACACGCCGTTTTATTCAACAAAGTAGAATAAAACGGATATAAAACAAATATAAATGTAGGCTGTTGTCCAACTTTCATATCACGTAATTTAAAGCCTACATTAAAAGTCAGAAGAACAACAGCGTTATATTTTATACCCACTGGATTGAAACTAAACCGTAGTTTAGCTAATTGTTGACTTTTCCTCGTTAACATAGAAAAGCTGGCTAAAACGAGTTAGACCTCAGCATATTTTGTATTTCAGCAACTGTAAAACTTGGCTGCTAAAGCAGGCTATGTTTAAACGCTTTAAAATGTTTGTTAAAATGCTTTAACCACGGAGACGGTTAGCCGGCTTGTTTACTCTGTGAAAGAAAATGCACGCGAGGCTGTGTTTCCAGTTCAGAATCATTTCCAAAGGCAAGGGCAACATATTTTGTATCACTTTGCGCTTTTGGTTATGTGTCGGTGTGTAATGTGAATAAAATGGTTGTGCGTCAAGGTGATATAAAACCTTTTGCTTTTACACACACACACACACACACACACACACACACACACACACACACACACACACACACAGTCAATGTAGGTGAAATAAATACTCAGAGTAAATGATGGTTGTTTTGTGTTTTCTTTTCCAAACACGCGCCGAACACACGAAATCTTGGCCGTGTGGATACATTACTGTAGTGAACGTGTTCATCAAACACCACAGCATAAACAATACCCTGGTGTTTAGCAATGAGGAGACAATATAGACAACATAGAGAATGAATAGAAATGTAGCCAATTTTCACACCTAAAAATTGTGTAACAAAAGCAGGTTTTTGCTTCATAGAAGGACACAACACCCACACGTTATATTGTCAGTTCATTTCACAAAGTCACACCACTGACAAACACGCACAAAAATGCTTTATGACACATTCCCACCTAGCCCGCAGGCTAACAGCGACTCAGCACAAAGCCTGAAACAGTCACGAGTAAAAGCAAATTATATGCGCACTAGTTAGATTTAATAACAGACGCATTTCACAAAAGACGCAAAGAAACCTCACAAACCTGGCATTGCAGAAAAGTGCATACTGGAGTGATATATCTGAAATGATAAAGTAAAATGACACAACGCCTGTTGTTATGGTAGTACCCAAAATGTGTGCTGGGATGCCACAGATGGGACAGTAATGTGCTGTTGCAGAGCTGCCAGCAGCATGGAAAATGTGCAGTGATTTCACAAACCAGTCATGGAAATTGTGCTTGAGGCTATAATAACAGAAAAACACGAGCGTATGACTTGATTGTTTTTTTGTTGTTTATTTTTTCTTACAGCAGAATGCACATTGACCCTGCACATGATGGCAGAAGAGCTCCACTTGAAACAATCAGATTTGCGTGACTGTGATTATCATAAGCTAGAAGTGAGGGGAGCTAACTGTTGTGAACTACTTGCTGTAGAGCCCAAAGATTGCGGTAGTTAAAGCAAAGCTTTAACTAGCAGGGTTATTATCCCCACCTTTATGCTTTTCTTAAAAAGAAACTGAGGAAAACTTTAAATGGGCATTCATTCTTCTCTGATTCCATAACAGAATGTTGTTTGTTTATACAGATCCATTTCTCCCATGGAAACGCGAGAACCACCTTATTTGCCAATAAGTGGTCCCTGAAAATTTCTGGATTTTTTCCTTTTTCTTTTTTTTTCAATTTTTTTCTTTTTTGCAAGACGCCTAAAGCCGGTTTTGTTGTCTGGCTAAACATTTTGAAGAAAAAGCTGCCCCCCCCCTCCCCCCCAACACACACACGCACTTTACTGGCACTTTTTTTGTTTTGTTTTTACCATGGTCTTTACACTTGTCTAAATTTCAGCCAGCAACCAACACTACTGTAATAATTTATCGTATAAATTATTGCAAACCTGGAGGTTGTTATGATAATGCCAGCAGGTATGGGTGGTGAATGCTGCGAGACAGCCTACATGGTAGTGGGTTTCCTGCACTAATCAGGAGCCACTGGGGCGACATAACTAATTTGCTCCTGGCGGCCACTTTAAAATATCTTTCCAGTTGCAAGTAGGCAGGCTGTGCTTTGTGAGCTCTTTCATGCTGTTGTCCACTCCGTGGCTAACTTCAAATTTATGGTGCCAGGATCACGCAAGCGCTTAATTAAATAGCAAAGCGATAACCACCATCAAAGTACAGCAGGATTACATTATTACCTTTTTACCGAATACCTTACACCAGATGCCATGTGCATGGGATTTAAACTTTCGATAAGTTTTACCAAAACTAATTTTGGTGACAACAATCCATAAATGGCAGCCTACAAAAGCGCTAATGTAAATGAAGGCGCTTTGCAAGCTAGTTGGTTGCAGCAATAGGTGCTCGTTTTACAGCGACGAACTGTTTTATGGCCCAATAGAACCGGTTAGGTGCTGAGATGTAAGTACAACATCGTAGTATAAAAGCATTCAATAGCCTATAATCACTTGATTAGAATTTGCAGGAGGCGGGTAACAAAATACCGCCAAGTATACTTACAAGAAAAATAAAGCAAATTTAAAGTCAGAACAGTTTATAGATGAAAACAGCAACAACAAAAGAACAAAAACAAATGTCTGCCTTAAATTTGTAACAAAATGGAAGAAAAAATGAACCAGAAAGGAAAATGTAACCGTTTTTCCCTGTATTTAACTTTTTTTTATTAACTTTTTAGTTTTTTACTGGTGTGAAATGTTTTCTTTTTTCTAAGTTTATGAGGGGAAAAGACACACACAAACACACGCACAAGACGAAGACACCCTCCCGTGTTATTTTATAATTTAGTTTTTGTGCATAATAAATAAAAACATGATCTTATTACCAGTTTTCTGGCACAAAAATATTACTTATTATGTAGGCGAATTAAATAAATTTCCTCGTGCATAATAATGGACCCAGGCTACATCGTCTCCATTCTCTTTCCTCTGCTCTAAATGAAACAAACCGCCATGTTTTTCATCACCGCAACACCCAAGTGCACAAGCCAGACTGACGCATGGCGAGAGCCGCATTCCAGCACAGTGGACGGTCCTTTTGTCACACATCGCCAAAACTGATGTCTGCTACTACTACTACACCTAATATTAATACAGTGATGTCACCGAGGCATCTATATCAGGAAACGTTTTCAAGATCCCGTTGAGGAAACAAAGCAGTTCTCAGAGGCCGGGAGAGTCCTGGCCCCCGTGTGGCTGAGAGACAACATCTGCAGAAGACTCTGCAGCACTCTCTGTTAGTGACGTTGGGTGTTGGAGAAACCTACAAATTACCACGTCACTGTCCCAGGGCCAAGGTTGGTGGGTGTGGCGACGAGGGGCTGGTATAGCCTTGATCTGGTCGGCTAGCGTGCTTCGTCTTTCTTGAGTCAGAACAGCCCCCTGTCATCCCTGATGATATACTAAGACGGGCAGATTAAGTCTGATTTCACTTCATGCAGATAAAATACATGACCTTCTAAAGAGATGCACAAAAAAGCGCCACCCCCTTTTCCCACTTTAAACCGTTTAACTTGAAGAAAAACCTTCTTTCCGAAAATAACCAAAATCACACCAATGGGAGGAAACACAACAACGTGCAAACGGTGCGGTAATATTTCTGTTGATCAGAACAGCCCGTGCAGTCTTTTGTTAAGTCAAGAATCAAAGGGTAGACTGACTCACAAGGACCACACACCCACGCACTCACAAACCGTCATGTTTGCACTTACAGAACCTCCCATTACGACAAATACACTGGGACAGCCACACACCAGCACGTTTTCTTTTCTTAGAGAATACAAATCCAGATCTACAGTTTACACCAAAGTGTTTTAAAACGCCTCATGCGTGAAAACGTATACATTTTACAAGGACAATAAAGTGTATTTACTGGACGTGCTAAAGCTGGTAAAGTTACCTGCTGTAGTTTAATGCGAGGGGTCAAAGTTGTTCTCTGTACACATTCCATTTTCTGTTCCCACTCACTCTTATTGGCCCATTCCGCCGCTGCACACATTTCCGGGCTAAAGGGGCTCCTTGATTCCACTTTATTGCATCGGGTTAAAGGT